GGTTTTGCTTAAGGAAAATTAAACTTTAGCTCAGCCTTTACTCTGGTTTTACTATACCTGCAAATACTGAAATATAATCAGTGAGATCACCTTATACAAGACAGCTACAATTATAGGACATAGAACTTTAGCCAACCTTCTGCCACAGAAGAAGGAATCCACGATCTTTTATCAACCAGGGAATTTAGATTTTGTATTGGTCTCAGATTAGAACATTGTTTACACCTGAAATTAATAAAAGCAAAAAAACAGTAAAAATAATTTATTATATTATAACTCATTTAATTATTATTTACCATTTTTGCTGTTCAAGCATGCAGTTTAAAAAGTGTATTATTAAACAAGAGCACCACACCTCCTATATTGTAATATGTATATTACAAACAGAATTATTAAAAAAAAAAGCTTCTTACAACAGAAGCAATCAAAAAAGAGTACGATTCAGAATAAACACCTGTACATTGAGAATCAGAGTGGTTCCAGATGCAGACTGTTAATTAATCTGGCTATTTTCCTATCTGGTAAAACAAAAAAGTTTAAAGAGACAATCTCTAAGGACTATTTCATTTTATGGCTCTGTGAACAGTATGTAACAGTGAAGGTCTTAATTAAACATAAACCAATAGGAGAAAAATTATTCTAACTAAAGAAGTCAGTACTAGTACATAGGGGAATCATAGTTTATGATACGTTATACTGTAGTTATCTTTTGTAATACAAACCAATATAACAGTATAAATATACTAAAATTGCACATCATTTAGTATAGGTATGTTTTACTTACCTACAAACATTTTAAATACAAGCAATTTTTATTTGCATTTATTATACTTTTTATTTACACTTTTTATTATATATTAACATTTAGAAGATGTTGATAAGAACGTATGCATGAATAAAAATATAAAAATAAACATTCAAAGATGCATGCAGACTTCTTTTCATCTGCAAGCTGGGGTAAAACAAAGGGTAACTATATTAAATGTTATCCTCTTCCATTCTTCTAATACATAGAAGTTTTTTTCTTTAACAGAAAAAGATAATCCAATAATGAGTATTATTGCCTTAAAATAAGGCTGCGATATTAAACTTTAGACATTGATAAAGTAAGTACACAAATTAAAAATTAAGGATAATAAGTAGAAATTAGAGAATCCATTATTTTCACAGTAGTACAAGAGGGAAAAGGAGAAAAATAACATTTTTATAAGTCAAGCCAATAGAAGAATGGAGATAAAAATTAGCAAAATAGTAATAAAAAAAGGAGAGGAACGGGAAATAAGAATAGCATGATAAGTGGAAAACAACACAAAATGTAGAAGTAAAACCTAAATGTATCAGTAATTAGCATATTTTAAACTCATCTATTAAAAAACTAAAATCTAGTCATAAGTATTTACTTATGAGACCTACTAAAATATAAGCCTGAATAGAATGTTTTTTTTTTTCTTTTTGACTTCCAGTAAGTGAAGAATGGTCCAAAGTTTATAACTAATATTTGCTTTTCTGGTTCTAGACTGGCCAAGGTGACTGATACTAGGAAGGCAAGACAAAAAGAACAGAGGGAGAGGAGAGAGCGCAAATGAGTCAGGATGAGCTACACACTCAGGTCCATGTCAGTGACCTCTTAAAAAGAAAAAAAAAAAAAAGCCAGAATTTGATATTTGGGAGATGGAAAAGGAGAGGGATGGTATGACAAGATGTATTCTACAATCCAGGGTTTCTCAAAGCAGGGCACTACCAGGGTGACTGTTTCATCAAGCGGAAACAGATTCTATCTGCACTGCCTCCTTCCAAACCTGGACACCTGTTTCTAGTTCCTAATGGATTCTGGTATCTTCCAGTTTCTCAGTGGCAACTAACTTATAACTTTGTGGCACTGAAAATCTGGAGTTCAATCACTTAACTTTTACTAGGATGCAGCTCTGAACCTTTCTCTGTAACTAGTATGTAAATTCTTATGAAAGAAAATAAAGGAATATTTCAGCCTTTGGGGTAGCCTTACACCTAGCACACTGTAGGCACTCAATATATATGCCATCCAAAGAACAGATACATACCAAAAAATCTAGTACACATAAATTGGTACTCAGTAAGTATCCATTCACTATATAGTAACAAGTGAGATACTGACAGGCATATGTAGAATAGATAAACAAGATTAGACTGCATAGCACAGGGAAATATATACAAGATCTTGTGGTAGCTCACAGCAAAAAAAAAAAGTGACAATGAATATAGGTATGTTCATGTATAACTGAAAAATTGTGCTCCACACTGGAAATTGACACACTGTAAAGTGACTATCACTCAAAAAAAAAAGTAAAAAAAAAAAATAAACAAGCAATAGATAAATAAAAATAAAAATTCCCCAAATTACCATTATTGAAAACATACCCATAGTGATGCATTTCCTTTGTATAAGGAATGGTGCTGAAAGGTCGAGGACTTCCAGGTCTTCTGGGCCAGATCTCACAGGAATTACACTATGAAACTTGTTTGAGAGTTTACAGATTTCACTGAGTGTACCTCCTATTAAAAGAGAATAAATAA